GCTGATAAATCCGAATTAAAGTCGTAGTGTAGACCAGGCCCAAGTTCCAGTAGTCTTTGTACTTCCGAATTACCTTGGTGCTTTTGAAAGGCCCATCCTAAGGCCTTATAAATCAAAGACCTCATTCTGCTGTTTTGGTCTTATATGCAAACCCCAATTATTAACATAACCATTTAATTTTGTGGGTCCTGCCCCAAAAAACACAGTTTCAAGAAGTGGGGAAGGGAGGCATTTAAATAAAAAGTATTCAGTATGAGGGAGGGTGTCTGTAACACTTTGACTGTGTCTTTCACTTCTACCAAAGGCAGTTCAAACTTACATGAATTTATTGTAGTGAAATTTCTAATATTGGAAAGGGAAGACAACATGAAACTTGCTCAACGGTCAGCCATATTGCCTTTCAGACAGGTATATTTCCCTCCCTAAATAGCATCCAAGATGTAGAAGCCACCTTTTATTACTTCAGTGTAGCTCATTCCCCCTCCTTCCAACAGTGATTTTTTTTAAAATCACCTGAATAGATCAATCTATTAAGCACCTCTCCACTGAAACAACTGGGCATGGCAGAGCGATGGTTGAGAATATATCTAATGAAAAACAACAAACATTCAAATGTGAAAAAAACTACACTTACACTAAAATCCAGGAACAGAAGGGAGAACTATATGCGAGAAAGGGACAAGGGAAGAGTTAGCAGGGGGGAAAAGGGTTGTCACAATAAAAATATATCTTGAAAAGGAGGGGAGGGATGGACTGAGATGGATTATAAAGAGGGAGTACCAAAGGGAAATCTCAGTCATCTGTGAAGTACAATGGTGAAATCCCTAAAAAGTGAGTGTCAAAACAAAAGTACCCCTCAGGAAGAAGGTCAAAAGAGGCACAAATATAGCCGTGGACTACACCAATAATAAAACCACATGATTCAATTCTTCAAAATTATATCAAGTCTATCCAAAGCCATTACAATGGTTAGCACTCAGCACTTTTATCACACATTCCATCCAAAGATCTCAAAGTTCTTGCACACATTCATGAATTCGGTCACACAACAACTCTATCAGGTAAGTAAGTACCGTCACCTCAAATTTACAAGGATGGTAGCTGAGGCAGAGAGAGAGATGACTTGTTCAAGACCACACAGGGATTTGATATATGCTTCAGCAGCTGACACATTTATTATGGGGTTCTTACACCTTTCTCTGGTAGTGCCCATTGTCAGAGACAGGATACTGGACTATCCTGAACAACATTATATTACATATACACATATTCTATTATATATACACACACACATACACGAACATGGAGATTGCTGCTAGAACATTGGAAGATTAGTTTTATCGATTACCATAATTCAGCTCTTACACAAGCCTAGAAAAAATTATATCAGTAGTTAACACATTATATAAAACACACACACAGTGAGTGGAAATTACCATGCAACATATGTCATCGTAGGATTCCATTGGATGGGCATGCATGTGCTTAAAGCCAAGGGGAATTTCAGATATAATATAGAGAGGGTTGTGAATATGATCTGTGAAGGTACATATGAAAACACTGAACTACAGAGTCCAGCCACCTTCAGCTGGAGTTGCATATGAAAAGAGTTTACTATTTGAGGGAACGTACAGGTAGTATATATGTGATTCAACTATATCTGTAGACCTATAAAATTCACTGAATACAACTGCACTTATGTTTTGTCCTTGAGTCATGAAACCCTAACCTTTCTAGGTAAAATACATTTTATGTTGCAACTGTTGTTAGACCAAAACATCTATAACAACAAGATTATTTCTAGCATATTGTGTCAAAAATAAGCTCCAAACTTGGGTATCTTTAAGTCAGAATACAGTTTATATTAATGTTATATTGAGTCGCTCTCTTACAATAAATCTTCTGTATCAAAATTCCTATGAGTCTAAGTGCACTAGAAAAAAAGATGAAAAACTGGAAAAAAGTAATCTTTCAAATTTGATTTCTGAAACTATCCTCATAATGGACACAGATGACCGCTCTGAAAAATGTGTGCTGTGAAGAGAACATTTTCCACAGTTCAATATAAAAACATTATATGTGAATATATGAAACATCCTCCCCCATTCTTTAAAATACACCTCTACCCACATATAATGTTGTCCTTGGGAGCCAAAAAATCTTACCGTGTTATAGGTGAAACCGCGTTATATTGAATTTGCTTTGATCCGCCGGAGTGCGCAGTCCCGCCCCCCCGGGAGCGCTGCTTTACCGCATTATATCCGAATTCATGATATATCGGGTCACGTTATATCAGGGTAGAGGTGTATAATCAACAATGATCTCAGTCTAGTTGTGTGATTTTTAGTCAAGGCTAAAGTTTACTAATAAATTTTATTTAAATAAATGTGCTTCTAGCAGCAAAGAGCAACAAAGGAATTGTCCACCAACTTAAAGGGACATCTTCACTTTAAAAACAAACAGTCACATTTCTGAATTATTTTTACCCACTATTGTGGCTAGAGTTAAAGGTTATTGTAACTGAAATTATAATGAAAAATATTCTCCATTTGTTCAGTTTGTTACTTTATGCATTTGTTAGCATTCAGTGCATAAACAGTTTTGCTGTTTCCTCTTTAGAAATGTCTTTTTTTCTGCCTAATTTATATCTGTTGGATTCCACTAAACAATCTCTGCTTTTCACTGTTCGATAGGTGCACTTAGCTCTTGTGAGAAATGAAAGACTTACACCTGACTGCTCTTCTAACTATGTAGCCATTGTAGTGGCAGACTAAACTTCTGCACCATTTCCAGGGCCAATTGCTACATCAGCAACAGACAAGACATTTCTGAGGGAGGTTACAGAGTGTCTATAGAACTTCTGTGGCATTGGTAATGCATGTATCCCCAATCCACTGTTGGCTGCAGAATCACAGGGATCCTGTTTTCTGAGAATTGTTAATATATTATGCCCCCTGACCACCGCCCATTGGTATTAAAACCTGTGTGTCACTTCCGTGATCTGGACAGGCCATGAGTCATTAAACCAGCATAACAGCTGGTTGTTTTTAATGTGTACTTTGTAATTAAAATGGTTAATTGTAAGCTTAGTAAGATCCTACTAAATATATTTTTAAACAAAGAAATGTAAGGAGTGAGTGAGATTTTCTAGAGACTGGAGGTATGTTTAGTTATTTAAAGTCTTTCAAAAAGTTGCCTCATTCCTCATCCGCACTCTTCTTTTCCCCTAATGCCACTACTGTAGCTATTTCAAATTAACTCTTTTGGGCTGACAAACCTATCCAAAATTAGCAAAGGAAGGGAGAAAGGGAAAACAGCAACTAATCGTTGCTGCAGGTTTGAAAGTACATTTCAGAGCC